ATTAGATAAATGATAATATGAAAATAAAAAATAAAAACTGCAAGGCGGAAAATCCTTAACAGTTAAAGGCACATACTTAGAGAGTTTTTTCTAGAGTTGTCTATCAAAAATTCATATAGAGTAAAAAAAGAAAAACATTTTTGGAGTCACCCTAATATATACATACGTACACCTTAAGAAACTTGTATAACCTTTATTTTGATATATTTACCATTTTTTGTTTATATTTGGACTTTATACTGGGAATATTATAATCGTGTGCATGTTTGCGCAACCCCATCTTTCTACGTACATGTGTTTGGGGCATAGAAAATAGGTCGTCTCCTGATAAATTCATGCAATTTTTCTTGCAGTTTGGGCACTTCAGTCAAGCATTAAATTGCTGCTTGTTATGCGTAAATTTATTTTTGTTTTCTCAGTACTTGCAAAAGTTTTAATTTCGTAAGTTAAATGCAAAATTCAAGAGGGTAAACAAGATGGGATTAAAGGCATATTATATATAAAGGATTTTACAATGTAGTGATCCTTACTCGTTGACGGGTTTTTACAGAAGAAAGCATAAACTCAAAGTTGCAGTGTTTGATGCCTTGCCTTTTCAAAACGAATGTCAGTGTAAAGCGACGATACGATTAAAGGCAACATCAGGATAGCATACGGTTGCATTTTAAAAGTAATAGATCATGGTGTTGCCACATATATATTTTAAAGTATGTGATAAAAACCAGAAAAGCCGCCCGCTTCCGTTACAGAGACCTATAATCACAAAAACCCCATCACAAATACAAAAGATCGCTTACAAGAATTTGATTTTCATCGGCAAGTTTGTGCGACAGCTAGTATATGATATAGTGATCTGATCTGAACAATTTCTCCGCAGGTTACATCACTGCCTTTGGCAAGAACTGACGTTAAATTTTTTCTCCCTACAAAGACTTGACTTTGACTGATCAGTTTTTATGGCAGATATATGCTATAGTGGTTCGATACCGGTAGTTTCGACAGGTGAGCAGCTTCTTTGGAAAGAAAAGAGGTGTATAAACTTTCAGATCGATATCTTAAAAATTGAGGGATTGTACATAGCTTAAAAGTACAACTGATTCAATTGAAAAGGTCTTAATGCTTGATTTGCTCTAAACTGAGATATTATTTTATTATTTTTCTTTATATTTCTTAGACAGAATTTATCAACCAACAACTCTATACCCTACTTATTTCAGTTGGTCAACATCCTCATACTTATTTCTTGTCTAAACTTAACCCAGTTTGCTCATAATCTAAATGAAAATTGAATAAATAACCTAAAAAATGAAATATTATTCCTACTCAAGCATATTTTTCATTTTTACAGTAGCATCTATTTTTTAAATTACCCAATTTATATTGAGTGAACAGCCATCAATTCACTCAATACAGCCAACGAGGGCATGAACACACCCCACTAATCTCAGCATGACTAGCGCACTTGTGTACATAACATTACACACACACACACACTGCCACACAATTCCATTTTTTATATATTTGCGATTGCTTGGCATCCTTCATCAATTTATATGACGCATAAGTTTGCTAAATTGCGTCTCATCATAACCTGGCTATGATTTATTGCCGCAATTATTTACCTACTAAAACTGCTCAGCATCCTTTAGCAGCACTACAGGCGACCATACATACATACGCGTGCGTTTGCAATAAAAAACAGCCAAAAAAGTTGTTAGCGCCAATCTGAAATCCTTTCAATAATGCAATTCATCAAAATGCAAAACAAGTACAATACTATATGCAAGCAAGTGTGTGTGTGACTGTGTGCGTGTGTTCTGCTAAATATTCACATCACTCATGACACAACATGTGGCACCAAAACACACACCCATTTTGATTTCACCCACCAATGCTTCCACCTATGCACACGTTCACCTTAAATAGAGGTGTGTGCAGTGGGTGTGGCAACAAGAAGATTGGCAGTAAGCTTGTGAGAAAGTGAAAGCTTAGCGAAAGTGTGAGTGAAAGTATGCGGGGCAGGCAATGTACCAATTTGCATATTTTTGCGATTTTTCTAAGCAAATAATGCAAATAGTTTAACGTCGCTGGTGAAGCCGTGCGAAAAGTGGTGAACCATAAAAAATTACCCAAAAGATTACCCCGCATTTGGTTGGGAGTGTTCAATAATTTGTCTTTCTATTTTTTTTTTTTT